CCCAAACCCCAAAACCCCAAAACCCCAAAACCCCGGCACACATCATTTTGCGAGATAGATTTAGAGTAATAATTGTGCGATTAATTGAATAATTTTACTGTAATTATAATGTCACAATCAAAGGGGGACACTTCTAAATCTCCTGAATCCTAGAATTATAATAAGCAAACAATTCATCACGTTAATATGATGCTCTAAAGATCCACTAAAGAATCAACAGAAAATAGTATTAACCTAAATATAAATATAAGCGGATAGACAATATTGTCAGATATGAATGTTGCAAAGTTGAGAAGAAAATCTATAATTTAGAAATAATAAAATATAAATATCAAACGAAGAGGTAGTCCTAATTATCTTAATTAATCCATAAATAGAGATGATGGATTAGATCAGTATAATTAATCTCTTGGCTAAAATGACGACAAAAACATAAATTAGCATCCTTTTATTAAAAGAGGATTAACACTTATTCCTGCATAACTAGATGACAAAATTACATCTGAAGAAGCAAGTACAATGATTGCCAATAATGGAAATATGCTAAATAATGAAAATTTAAAAATTAGATGCACAAATCAGATTACCATGAGTGAGTCAAGTCCTTTAAATACAATATCATAGCAGCACAACATACAATAAGCATATTTAGTGAAAAATCGTCCAGAAATTAAAAGTATTTAAAGAGTGTCTATTTCACCAAGAAGGATTGAATCATTAGTAAATCCTCAAGCTAACTCTAACTTGAATGAAATTAAGAACAATAGTGTAGCATAAAATAGGCAAATACTCTTTGACGAATAAATTGATTAGTAATGAAAAATGAAGGTGAAACCAACGATTATGAAGCAATCACAAATTGTAATAGATAAGATTCAGAGTTTGATAAAATAGTACATTAATGGACTAAAATCAGATTTGATTAAATATCTGAAGTAGATACAAAACGATGAGCACATTCATCTAGATGATATTCTATACTTTACTGAGGATAATAAAATAGATGTAAAAATTGATCAGTCTATAGGTTACTAGGACAAGAACTTCCAAGACATATCTCTATAATCATTGATCATTATAGGTTCTAAATCTAATGATGCATTCCAATCTTAATAAAATAATCTTACTATGCATTAAAATGGGAGTTTAAATTAATTTAAGAGTAAAAATAGGTTGAATATCAAAAAGAGAATTACAAATTTAAGATCAAAAGCACATAAATAAATTGAAGTTAGCAAATTAGGGAATCAGGAGGGATGTAGTTAAAACCTGAATGGAGATTAATATTTTGAATCTTAGAGAAGAATGAGCAAGATAAAGTAGAAATCATAGCTTTAATATAGTAGTATCGTAAATACTAGACGAGTATCAAACAACCTAATAGAGAAAGGATTTAATAGGCAAGCTACAATTAAATTAGACAATAGGAAAGTATCTTTCGATCAAGCCTCTACCGAAGAAACTTCAAGTCCACATTAAGTCCAAGATTATATTTCAAAGTCACAATTAAGAAGATATGCACCTATAGTTGTCAACTCTTAATAATCAGGATGAGTAAATAGTAGTAATGGCTCTTAGTTATCGCAGTCTGTAAATAATCTGCCCTCTATAAGAAATGACAAAAATAAGACTATTATAGAACTTAAGCAAAACTACTTTAAATATCGAGAAGTATCTAGATTTAAAGAATAGATTAAAACATCAATAATAAACAATGAGAATTTGAACTGCACTTAAAAATTACCTCTAAAGAAATAAATAGTTCCTAATTATTAAAAAGAGAAAATTTTAAACAAAAGCAGCGAGCTTAAAGGAGCATCGACATTACAATACGATGATTCAATTATTGAGGAGAATAATAAAGATCTAATTCGAGAATAGTAAGTCATAATTTAGCAACAATACATCTAGGAAATTCGTAAATCTTTATAAGAAGAGGAATATAAGGAATAATAGAGATAAGAATAACTTTAAAATCCCTTGACCTAGTATGAGAGAGATTATCTAGAACATTTATAGGGGATCGAGAGAGCAAAGGCCAGAGATCGGCTCTCAAAGGTAAAGCTAAAATACGAATAGATGCTTTTTGGACTATAAAGTTAGTAAATAATACAGTGAAAACCTAATAAATGATTTGAATGAAAAGCCTTATATAAATACAGCAATGCTTCTTGTGTTTTGGAGTTGCAAGATATTATGAGTATAAAGATTGTAAGAATAGTATATAAGTTATTAGATGAGATGAATTCAAATTTTGTTAATTATATTGATAACTTAAAAGTTAAATGCTTTATTTGTAATAATATAATGATAATAATATCATTCGAAGCATTAGTAAATAAATATTTCAAAGTTTGAATCCAATTGAGCTTGCTTGAATAGTTGTAGAGTTGCTTAAACTATTCAGTCTCTCTTATAGTCTTTGTTTATTTTCTTATAGTCTAGAAATCTTTTCTTGGTATTTCTTTAGAGATGATTACTGCTGCTTCCTCATATTAGAGATATTGTTTTATTACTGTTGCTTTGAAGCAGTATCCTTGGAATACAGACTTATGTTAAAGGGGGAGGCTGAATACACATTCTCTTTCATCGGACTGTAGTCATCCTTTTTTGTCCTCATACTGCCTTTTTTAGAAGTACTGCATTCCTTAATGATTTTCTTTAATTTCTATGCACTTTTATTTAAGAAGTCATCGAAGGTGTCACTAACACTTTCATGTATGGATGCAAATCTTATCCTCGACTCTAATACACTTCGATCATCTTCTTTTTCAACTGAATTCTAGATGTTTGTGAAAATGCATTAGTTTTTCCTGTCTGAGTTCTTATTATATGTGAGTTGAGTATTGGCTCTCTTGTAGTTGTTGCCAGGTGACTATCTCTTTGTATTCTAGCTAGAAGTGAAGTACTTTCTTCGTTCTATTGAGTCCATCTCTCCATAGCAATCACTCTTCCTCATTATCTCAAAAGCATTGACTGTGGCCCCGTTTTGATTGCTTCTATTCGTGTATTAAGTTATTTGGTTATTGTTGAAGTTTGTAATATCATTGAAGAATGCACTGGGATCTGCTGTTAAAGGTGTGGTTCTTGATATAGGAGACCTTCTCAGGTATTAGGTTCCTGAGGCCTCAACAATTGATCTGTTTGCGATGGACTATTGGAAGACTAGAATCGAATCTCTTTGAAGCTGATCTATTCTTTCAGTCTGTAAATCCATGTTCTATTTGAGTGTTTTTATTTCAATCTCATATAGTTTGCATTGATTGCAAGGCAGTCCAGCTTGATATTAATCCAAATTTTCACATAACATTTTTATCAGTTGCTAATCCTTTTCCTTGCTATCCTTTAGACTTTTTACTTGCGACTTTAACTCTACACTTTCTTACTACATTTAATCCAGCATTCTTTGGAGCATTAATACCTACTATTAAGCCTTGACTTTATCAAGCAAGTCTGACTGCTAATTGTCAATATTATTGGGGATATTGAGATCTTGATTCACTATCTAATTTAAATCATTACTCACATATAGCTCCTTCAACTAGATAGGCTTACTACTTAGTTTTTTCTTGATGCCAGCTTTTATGCTCTTCATTACTGAACTTTTAGAGAGGTTAAGTTGACTTTTATTCATTTTAGAAGTATTATTAGATGTATTACTTTCACATACCATTTTTTTCGGTTTCTATATATCTACTGAGGACTCCTTAGCGAGATAGCAAAATGAGGTAAACTAGTCGTTAGCTGCAAAGAGCTGAATCTTTTCATTCACAATTTGAATTGTCTAAGCTTTTAGATTGGCCCTGAACATGATATTCTTAGTATTCTTTATAAATAGTTGAAACTAACTCTAGAAGTGTAACTCTTTCGATTGAATTGATTTCAAAAAATTTATATGCTGAACATTGTTCACATAAGAATCGTATTGAAATATCTAGCCATATCCTAAAATAGTTAAATTGAATTGCATTATGTACTGTCAACAACTAGCAAAAGGTTTCGGTAGCAATGAATTGATATGACTTCGATATTTGGTGCTTGAACTTGCAAAGGAAACTTTATCTAGACATTATTGATCGTTCCTTGAATATAAACCTTTCCACTAACTAATAAATCAATCAAGATTAACAAACAATACTTACCCATTAATATGCAAGTAAAAGTTGAGCCACATTCAAGTTACTTAACATAATCTTAGGCAATACAATTAGCTTTCAAATCAGATAAATCAACTTCTTAAGGTTCAGCAGTCAGAGCTGATTGGAGTCCAAATAATTAGTAGTGAGAGTTTTAGCCACTTACAAATATCCTTGGCTATATATCTTAAGATATAAATATAGAGAAGTCATCTCCGCATTTGATATCTCTGATCAGTATGCCCTAATCCACAAAACTCATCAAAGGTGTCCATTGTTAATAGAGATTATTCTGTATTGTATGCTCAGCTGAATGTCTTTGACTTGCAGAACAACTACTAATGAGTTGCGTCATCTGAGTGTTTTATGAGATAGATGTGTTGTGCGGATTCGTATTAAAACACTTCTGCTGTAATAGTGGCAATCCGAGTTATCCGAAGTCATTATTTCCCAAGCCAAAAGCTACACCATCTCTAGTAATTGTAAAGATATGGGAGAGGCCAGTCAGCACTACAGATTTAATCTGTAGTGTTTTGAAAAAACTGCTATAGTTAAATTTGATGGGTTCTTAGCGCAGCATATTTTAAGGTAAATTTTTAGAGGTTATCAGTCTGTAATCATCTTTTGTGATGGCGTAGAGTTGATTGTCAAAGGAGATTCCTAGTTAATGAATTTGATGCTTGATCTTCATGATCTGCTGCAGATTATTTTAGGTATCTTTGATTAATATGACAGATGAGGGAATGCTCGGTTGCTCTATTTAGATGGTCGACTGATTAGTTGACTTTTTCTTGCTTAAAGTTTTCGAGGAACTTTTGATGTAGCTGTTGGAAAGTTTAGCTTTCATAAAATTAAAATCAAGAGTGGTTAATAATTAATTATTAATATAATGATAAGCACGAAAAACATGATCTAAAAAGCATTTAAGCAGAAATCACAGCTATTGAAAATTTAGCAAAGAAGCATGAGTGTTTTGGGCATGAATAGTTCTAGTATGCAAAACGCAGTCATTCATGATCATAACTAAATGAAAAGCAAGTTGTAATCTCAGTTCAATAGAACTAAACTGAACTCTTTGCTGGGCGATTTGCCTACTGGAGACATACCTGAGCCGTTGAAGTATGTGAGGCCATTTGAGGTCACTGAAATCTCTAATGGAATTCGAGTGTGCACTGAGAATTGGCCATCGCCAGTATCAGCAGTTGGAGTGTTTATAGGAACAGGATCGAGGAACGAAACAATCAGGACTTCGGGAGCAGCGCACTTCCTAGAGCACTTGCACTTCAAGGGGTCTTAGAAAAGGACTCGAAGGCAATTGGAGAAGGAAGTGGAGAACTTAGGGTCGCAGCTGAATGCTTATACCTCAAGAGAACATACTCTCTATCACATGCTATGCTTCAATGATAATATCGCACACAGTGTTGAGGTTTTAGGGGACATGCTTTGCAACTCCGTCTACGACAACTATCATCTTGAGAACGAAAAAGAGACAATATGGCAGGAACTATTAGCAACAAATCAAGATTATATGGAAACTTTGATGGAGGGCGTTTATTTAAACACATATAAAAACCACATGATAGGGCAACCAATCCTTGGAGATATTGACAACATCCATTAAATCACTAGAGACATGGTGGTTGATTTCCACAGGACCAATTACTACGGCTAGAACATAGTCATTGTCGGCACAGGAAGCGTCAATCACTAATTATTAGTTGACCTCTCTGAGAGACACTTCCATAAGTTCCCTAAGAAGGCTGTTGCTCCAATCAATAACACCGAGAAGCCAGTGTTTCACTCAGACGTGATGCATATGATTGACGAGGAAATGATGAACTCCAACTCAGGCATATTCTACAACTCCCCAGGCTGGAGGGACAAAGACTTCTACTCCTTCTTGCTGATGCAGAGAGTTTTCGGAGGCTACAGTCAGGAGAGAAATGCTGCTCACATTGGTGATGTACACTAGCAATTCAACAGCATGCATGCTTTGCTAGCTGAATGCCCTGATATACTAAGACACGACTGTATATACTCTCCGTACTCAGACTGCGGCTTCTTCGGCCACTACATATTTGGAAACGATTCCTTTGTAAGGCAGCAAACTCACGTTGGAGAAGCTCTCTCCGAAGTCTATGGAGAGCACTTTGACGATGTTGAAGTCATCAGAGCTAAGAGCAAACTCTTCATGGAGCTCTTATCAATCGACAGCACTACTGACTCGCTCCAGCAGATCGGACCCTAGATGCTGTATCTAAACAGGAGAGTCCCTAAGTCTGAAATAGCAATGCGAGTGTCGAGCATCGACAATAAGCATCTTAGACAGGTCTGCAATAAATGGTTAACCAACTCGCAACCATCAATCACCAATTGGGGATAGGTAAAAGGGTTGGAACAGTTTGGCCCATACAGGTACTATAAGGTAGACACTGTCAAAAATATCGCTAATTCTTTCAAATAACAATAGCTGTGATTTAATCTAATTAAATTTGTATATTTAAATTATCAAATCATTAATATTGTCTTCAAAGTCTTCCAGATGTTCTGCCAGCAGGAGCACTGCTTTTTTCGTTAAGATTACTTCCAGTGTTAAGCATGCTGTAAGTCTAACTCATTTTTTTGCTTTCTTCATACTCGAGTTCTTTCTTAGCCTTCTGGAACTCAGAGAACTTCAGAGAGGCATTCGTGATATCAGCTATCTCAGCCTTCATTTTACTTATGTCTTGGTCCATTTCTCCGTAATCTTTCATCAATGGCAGGCATCTCTTGAATACTTTCTACCCACAACCAGCATGACAGACTTACACTGCGCCTGGCTAGGCATTTTGGCAGGTATCGCACCACTTGAACTGAATGAACTCGTTGACTATCACTTTATTTCTGCCTAGATCCTTCTTAAGCATCTCATTGATAAGCTTGCATTTGACTGAGCAGCCCTAGTCACTGTTTTTCATCTGCTCTATTTCTCGTCTCATGTCTTTGCGCACGATTTCTTTCACTGTCTGGATCATTATGGGATCCATGTGGCTAATCAGCAAACGCTTCGTGTCTTTTAGCTAGTCTTTCAGCTTCTTATGCCTCTTCTCCTAGTCTTTTTCTTTTTTGTCTAGATAGAGACTTACCAAGTGAAAGGAGATTATGCTCAAGGTGAAAAATGGTATAGAGTATTAAGGTATCTCAGTAAAAGTATAACTCAGTAGCGAGGGTGACTTATAGAACAGGAATGCCAAACTAAGGAGCAAAATGTAATATATTTTTTCAGCTAGTTTGACTCTATACTTCCATTATATATACCTGCCAAGCCTCTTTTGAACCAACTCGTACTCTCCTTTGAGGCCTTAGAACTAGGCATTGATCTGGTTTATTTTCTGGTTCTTGGCTTTATAGTAATTTGATAGGACCAAAGCGAAAACAAATCCTATAAGGAAAACTCCAGCTATCATATACATATCAGTCTGCTCAAACTTCTTATAGGGCTAAACTAGTTTCAGTAACTCATTGGCTCTGGGCGAGCGATAGTGCTCTAAATTGTAAGGGTCGAATGTTTATTCTGGTGGAGGACCATCTACTAAAGAGCGTACTGGTGCAGACTCTGCTATTTATTCTGTGTTATGGGGTTCTATGATTTCTTCCATGATTTAAGATCAATTAAGGAAATAATTAAATAAATAACCAATCAAATCGCTTTACTTAATTTAAACTTTTCTCGAATCATCCTAAGTTTTTAAATAATATTCACTATTCACATCAGTTCCATAATCATTCATAGACCTCACTCTATTTACAATGCATTCATTAAGTTCGATTTTCAGATATTGTCCTTGCTCAACTTCTAGTTCCTCATTGTAGTCTCTAGTAAATGCTAATCAACCTTCTCATGGGCTTTTTGTATCTGCACAAACTAAAATGTCTCATAGCATTCATCCAGCTATGTTCTCAGTTTCTATTAAAGGTATTATATCAAATTTCCCTTGCTTAAACCTTACTTTACATTCAGCATATGACTCTACATCATTGTCTCTTTCCTTTTGGCAAGATAAATATTTCCTTTTCAAAGGTCTGCATCCAACTCTTAATAATTTGTTCTTGAGATTGAAGTCATCATCTTCACCCGCCTACCACCACTGACTATCTTAATCCCTCTTTAGCTATTCGATTTTCTTCTCTCTTAACTGTTTTAATAATTCCTCATCTATCATCTTCCTTTATTGCTGTTGATTTGATTCTGTCATAGTTTTAATTAATGATTATTATAAATTCATCAATGGAGATTATTAATTAATATTAAAAGTACAATCTTCGAATAAATCAATTCAGACTTTCTTGACTACTATATCATGAACATTAAAAAACCAAGCCCATGCTATTTAAAATGCAACGAGTTCTACAAAATCACCTAGGCATCAGAGAGATTATTCTGCAAGAAGGGATGCGATGCTGATGAAGATACCTTGTAAGTTATATTTCAAAATGCTGTACAAGTAGGCTAATTTTAACTTATATAGAGAGCTATGCAAGATGGAGAAGTGCACTGAACTCTGCATTAAGAAGGAGCTAGGAGAGGATGACAATAAAAAGGGCTCCTGGACTATGCTATTCTCAAGAGCACCAGTAAATTCAGATAACTGCATCGAGGCCTGCTATTACGGATGCCTAAACAGAGTTGATGAAGATAAAGACTGATTTTTAAAGAAATAATTACCTTACATTGCAAACCAGTTTGATTCATTTAATTTTTACGAAATATTTAATTACTGATCTAAGTCTATATTCATTCAAACAGAGTTAAAGCATAAAGTTTACAATCTTCAAAGCTAATCAATCAGCTCCTTATTTAATCATATCTTAATTCATTAGAGGGTTATATATTAATCTCATAAGAAAACAAATTTTCTATTTTCGTATTAAGTTTACCCAAATATTGATCTGGCAAGAGACCTCCCTTTGATGACTTATTCAGCTATCTCTATAGGCTTATTTTTTGGTTTTCTGTAGTGAAGGAAGAGAGGCGGATTAAACTTAGAGTATTGATGACTCAAGAGGAAGTGATTTTCATTCAACCCTCCCCTTTAGCTTACAAATTGCTTATGCTTGAAAGTCACATTTTTTGCAGGTCCAATACTACCAAGTTAGTTTAATCTATCTGAAGAGGATAACTTTTAGCTATACTCACCTATTTTAGGTTGGAATGTCAAAGTTCTAGTCATAATACCGTCTATATTTACATTTTCAAAGTCACCTAGAGTTTAAAGTCGCTGTTTAATTGTTGGAAGCATCTTTGTCGAGCTTTCCAGAGTCGTATCCTCCTAGTTATTAAAAGAGCCTAAAACACTCCCGTTACTGTTTCTAACCCCAACACTAATATTAAAAAGTGATCTCTTATTGATAGGTGACTTAAAGTTCTCCTAGGTCTCATTAGTTTGACCTGATGCTATTATAAGGCTCTGTGTATGCTGTTACCTTGTTTCGCTCATACTATTTTACGTTTGTAGTAGATTTTGCTTGTTTAGCTGAGCTGCTTCTGCCTAGACCCTGTTTTGAAATGAAGACTTGATTGACTGCTGCTTGATGTAGTTATTTTCAAATAGATTACTACTCTTCGTCTGATTAAAAAATCTATTCATCATGTCATCTAGTTGTATTACATCAAGACTCTGAGTTATATTCTGATTGAAGTTTTACTGAGAATGGTGGTTGTGATTATTAGACAGATAGTGCTTGATATCATTTTTAGAAAGCTTACTAGCGACTCCTTTATTAATTGGATTAATTGTGATGAATTCCTTCTTGATGAAATAATTTTTTTTCATTGCTAGAATATTTGCTATCTATTCAGGAGGCTTTGATAATTGCATCAACCTCCGCTTCTTTAATTTCAATCTGTCTAGATCCTCTTGCTCATTTTCAACCATTTTAATGACAACTTTTTGAAGATTGCATTTATTTTGGAGTTATCGGATAATCCTATTATTTTCAATGAGATCATACAGGTAATCTTTGAAAGATTTAGAGCAATTAAGAGCTGAGAACTGCGATTGATGATGATTTTTCTATTTAACGCTTGCACTTTTTTTCTTAAACTACCCCTAGGATTAAGATTTTCTCATCCATTATTTAGAATTAAAGTACTCTTACTAGAGTTGCAATAATAAATCTTCATTTGAACTTTTATTCAATGATTTTTTGACATTCCCAATCTGATTAATAAAGCTGACTTTGTTCAATTATTAAGCGGACTATTAAGCATACTTTGATTTTTTATATTAGGAGCTAGATCTAACTCTCAAGAGTTAGGACTATGAGTCTTTGCTCAAGTTTTGGGTATCTTACCGCTGTGAAGACAAATTATCTGCTTCTTCAGTCGCATAATATTCCTCCTTTTCCTCTAAACTGTCATTATTACTATCTTAGGCCTTTTACTTCTTCTTTTGCTTTCTTAATTTTTCCTTCTTCAAGTTATTATCAACATTATGCTTTTGTTTGAAAGATAGTAAATCCTTCAGATTTACTTCTAAATTTCCTTTGTTCTTCTTTTTGTTGATTGAATCCTGGGTTCCTCCATTCCCATTCTGACTTGTGAACTATTCAGTGTTATTATGATTATCAGTTGAATCACAATTCCTATGTGATTCCTACTCGTTTATGATCTCCAATTTATCACTCATTGGATGAGCTGAGGAGGTTAAACTCTCATCAAATGCCTAATCGATTTCCATCTGAGTGGTTGATTTACGCTTTAAAGGTGCCTTGCCTCTACCTATCTCAAAAGTTTCCATGTACTGATCTCTAAATAGTTTACTCAGAGTCTTAGTTAACTGCTTATTTCTTGTCTAAGACTACTTAATCTCTGGCACTTATTCTGAATGGTCATGGGAAGATACTCCCTTAGATAGTTATTTACTCATAAGTCCTTCTGTTTATGTTATTATTGTAATTGGCTTATTTATTGAAAATAATATTGCTATTAATTATTTATTTATAACTAGTTCTACTTTTTATTTTTCATTTCTCAAATACTAACTTTGTTATCATTTTGGGGTTTTGGGGTTTTGGGGAGATCGGAAGAGCACACGTCTGAACTCTAGTCACTATGC